TTTGCGGCCATGTATGCTACAATAAACAAGGAGTAGTAATTATAGTTTACTGGACATCTATGCAGACCACATTGAGCACGTACTTAGGAGTCTCATTTGCTGGAAATCTAGGTCTCTTGCAAAAACTGGAATAACAACCTAGTATCTTCTGAATAGTTATATGGTTCTAAGTAATCTGTGAATATGAATAATTGTCAGAAACATTTTAAGTACAGTTTTAAAAAAACTATAATTATAAAATATGCTTTCTGAAATAAAGTTACATTTAGCTCAACACCATTGTGGTCCCCTTTGCCCCTTTATGTTTTATTATGGGAAGAACAGAAGTCCCTAAAAACTATGTTTATTGTCATGTTCTAAGTTCCAATTGCATCAGCTGAGGCGAGAGAGATGCATTTTTAATCCTACACAGGTAATTTTAACGTTTCCCAAAATAGCAGGGAAAAAGAAAATGTAAAGATTGTTTTTGGATATAAAATTATGATTTCCTATGGACCAGTTAGGAACCATCAAAAACCTCATATGTTAATGTCTTGGTTGACAATGCCATTTTGCACATAGGGCTGGACGTTTCCCTAGTCTTCAGAAAGTAGGGCAAGGCAGCACCTCAAGTAATAAACAGTGGGTGAATCTACACATGCAATTAGAGCAAAGCAAACTTGGGAGCAGTTTGCACCAGAATTAACTGCACCCGGGCACAGTGTCTACACATGCACCCAGGACAGCAGCACTTTGTGCTGAGACACAGCAGGCCTAGGATAACAGCAGGAGTGGGGGGGTCAGCCCTGGGCTTTGGGTGGCAGCATTGGGTGGCGGAGGGGCTGGCTGGGGCATGAGAGTGCCCAATGTGCAGAGCCATGTAGCTAGGTAGCAGGCAGGAGTCTGGTCCCCTGCTGCCTGGGCTGACCAGGCAGAATTTCCACCTGTAGTCCCCATCTATATGAGCATTTGATCATAGTTATTTACTCCACCATACAATAGTACTATCCCCTACAGTATTATCCTATGACAGAATTAGTTTACTGAACCCTAGTTTTGGTGCACATATAGACGGATGCTTTACTGCAGAGCCAATTAGTCAACTCTGCACTAAAGCATACATGTAGATGCACAAAGTGGTGGTGAGGTTTTTGCTGAGGTTTGTTATTAAATCTGAAGGTGTATATTGAATTTCATTGGCAGAATAACCATAGTTAAGAGGGTAGTAGCCAGCGCCCCCCAAAGGACGACAAGATTAATGGTCACAAACTCTGCCGTGACTGATTCAGGCTGGACATAAGAAAGAACTTCTTCACTGTCCGAGCCCCCAAGGTTTGGAATAGACTGCCACTGGAGGTGGTTCAAGCACCCACTTTGAACACCTTCAAGGCACATTTGGATGCTTATCTTGCTGGGATCCTATGATCTCTGCTGACTTCCTTCCCTGGGGCAGGGGGCTGGACTCGATGATCCTCCAGGGTCCCTTCCAGCCCGAATGTCTATGAAATCTATGAAATATTTGATAGGCTTACAGAAGGTAGGATTCTGCCAGCATGACTTCATTGCGGACAGGTCTTGTCTTACCAACCTCATCTCCTTTTACAATCAGATAACTCACCACCTAGATAAGGGAGAGGAGATTGCCATGGTATACCTTAACTTCCAAAAGGCCTTTGATCTAGTATCTCACAATGTTCTCGTGAGTAAATTGGAGGACTGTGGCTCAACCGTGAGACAGTTAGGTGGGTAGGATGGTTGGAGGGTAGGACCCAGAGAGTCCTAATGAACAGATCTGTGTCATCTTGGTGAGAAGTGGCCAGTGGTGTCCTTCAGGAGCTGGTGCTCGGTCCAATGCTTTTCAACTTCTTTATCAATGATTTGGATGTGGGGGTGAAGAGTTCACTGACCAAGTTTTTGGACAACACCAAGTTATGGGAAAGTATGGTCACACTTGAAGATAGGCTTCAGATACAAGCAGACCTAGATAAGGTAACAAGTTGGGCAGAACAAAATCAAATGAAGTTCAACATCAAGAAATGTAAAGTACTCTATCTGGGGACAAAAAAAACCCCCTATATACCTACAGGCTTGGCAATGCCAAAGTGACCAGCACCATGAACGAAAGGGACCTGGGGTAATAATAGACAATAGTATGAATATGAGCTGGCATTGTGAGCCATAGCCAACAGGACAAATAATACCCTGGCATGCATCAATCAATGCATCTCCAACAAAACTAAGGAAGTGATTCTTCCATTGCACCCAGCATTGGTGAGACCGCAGCTGGAGTACTGCATCCAGTACTGGGCGCTGCACTTCAACAAGGATGTGGTAAAGCTCAGGAGAGTCCAGAGAAGGGCCACCCATATGATCAGAGGCTTGCACGGCAAGCCATACGAAGAAAGGCTGAGGGACCTGGAACTCTTTAGCCTGAAAAAGAGAAGAAGGCTGAGAGGGGACTTGATAGTGGCTTACCGCTATATAAGGGTCATGCCATCAAGGGCTCGGCAAACAACTGTTCACCAAGGCACGCTTGGGGATAACAAGAGTAATGGCCATAAACTCCTGGAAGACCATTTCAGGCTTAACATTAGGAAAAACTTCTTTACAGCCAGGGTGTCTAGACTGTGGAATAGGGTCCCTCCAGAGGTGATAGAATCACCTATCCTGGAAATCTTCAAGAGGAGACTGGACGGTCATCTTGCTGGGGTCACCTGACCCCAGTTATCTTTCCTGCCAGGTGCAGGGGGCTGGACCCGATGATCTTCCGAGGTCAATTCCAGTCTTGCAATCTATGAATCTATAAGTTGTTAACTATAGCTTGGAACAATAGTTCCCCCATTTTCCAAATGCTCCAGATTGATCACACTAAATTCAAGGGTGAAGATGAAATATTCTATTCATTGGTAGAAAAATCTAGTTAGATGTAAAGACATACAATACATCTACCTATCATACTTATTGGTGGAGACAATTTTTTACTTCTGCTACCACTTGTAATTCAGAAAGTTACAATCCTGTAGGGGTCTATTTTACAAGACAGGAAGACTATTGAGGTAATATATAGCCAAAAAGTCTCCAAAATAATAAAAAAATTAAGCACTCCGCAGAGACATACAGCAAGTAAGGAACCGCTGTGTACTCCAGAAAAGAAGCAGAAGAAACAGAAGTCAGTCAATCATAGTCCATGTCAAGTCACAAAGAAACAAAACATTTTACAATCATACCCACAACAGAAAGGAAGGGGGAAAAAATCTCACACAAAGGAAAAGAAAAATCACATGCAATTTGGAATAAAACAAAAGGAAGTAGCTATCCACAAGGCAGAAGGAAACAGTAAATTAATCCACAGAAAATTGTAGAGAAAAAAAAAAACAAATTATTGTCATAATATTATTCTAAAATTATGGACAAAATTGGCATGGACCCATACTGTGAAAATCTGGGAAAAAGGTTTGGCCAGTTGTGAGGTAAGCAATATATTTTTCAGTACAGCTAGACTTATAGAAATTCAGTCCATGAATAATTATTCTATAAAGGCAGTTCAGAGAGCAGTTCTCATATCTTGACAGTGGCTGAGCAGAAGCTGGAAAGAGGAGGCTCATTTGACTGACTCCTACTATATTAGGGAAAGTAGACAAGAGTCTGCCAAATGACTTTCACAACACAGCAGATTCTAAGATGGTATGGCTCAACCTAAAATTAACAAAGATAGATATTTGGATACCCAAGAAACCCCTGCTTACATAACTGTTCCTGTGCTTTTGCGTCGAACCTGGATCCCAAATGGTTCGTTCTGAATTGATACTTCATAGAGTCTATTCTCAGCTGTACTTCTAGGGCTGCTAGAGATATTTAGTGGTACTGGAACCTCGTACCTTCTACTGTTGTAATCATAAATCTGCGAAGGAGAAATTGGTTCACTCAAATGCATGTAAAATATTCACAGGTTAAATACACTGATGACACTTTGAATTTCAGTCCCATATTTCAGTCGGTATTTCCCATATTAAACTGAAAAGATATCTTTCAGTCCTCCCCTTTACAGAGACGATTTATCACAGGGAAAAATGTTTAAGTTGGACTAATATAAATTAAGAAAAAAAAACTTTAATAGACTAGTCCCTATCAGCTAAAAAAATAAATATTTTGTAACTGCTTCAGTGAGGCACTCTCTTTCACTCAGTTTCCTTTTTTGTCACAGTTGAAATAGGTTGGTTGGCAAATAAGAAACATTGGGATTGGAAACTTTGTTTTCCCAGAGATGGTTGTTGGTTAAAATGGCTCTGAACCTATTTATTTATATAGTAAACATGATTCTCTCCTTCTATGTGCTTTTTATTATGTTCAGTGCTATTCTATAACAGATTTTCTTCATGTTTCTTGTATTCTATATTCCAATTCTTAATCATCAATAATCATTGAGAAATAAATGAATAATATAATGCATTTATTATGATGTGTTTTTATTGTATGTAGTTTACTATAGCAATATTGTGGTTCATTAAGTCTATAATATATTCTAAGTATGAATAACACAAATATTAACATAAGACTACTTGCTAATAATGAGTATGATCCTAATAAGGAATTCTTACATCCTAATGATAGAGTTGTTAAAATCCTTCAAATTTTGATTTTTTTTTCAGGTAATTATATATATTATTAAGTTATATAAACAAGGACAATGTTGTAAGAAAAAACATATTCTTGAACTCAACAGTCAATACCAGGTGTTTGGCTAAATTGAGAAGACTACCTAACCAACAGTGCAATCTGAAAACCAGGAAGGTTTATTAATGCACAAATAGATGACTCATTTGAACAAAATATAAAAGGTTATAGAAATGAAGTACTTTTCAACAAATGAAGCAATATTAATTTACCTTAAATTGCAAGAAATTATTTTCATGATATTTCACTTCCAAGGTAAGTGTATCAATCGGTGTAGACTGTGAATTCTTAACATAATTAGCATTTGTGCTCAGGTTTGCTGTTAAACCTGAAGAAGAATATTGAATTTGCTTAACATAATAACCATTGTTGGGAGGGTAGTAACAGTAGGGAACGTTCTGTGTAACAGTTTGGATCTGAAAATTAAAAGATAATATGTATTAGTGAATTGTATTTGGCAACTTTACTTTTAAAATCTATTAAAGAGAATGCTAAAAATGCTAAAATGCTAAAAGAAAATGCTAAAAATGCTTCCAATTTTAGAATGAAACACAATGGGCATTTTTACGCTTGCTTTGATGTGCATCAAGCTCTCAGGAGCTGCTCTAATTAAAGTGCCCACAGCGTTTTGTGTATTCACATCCTAAGCTTCGAAATGGTGGCGGGAGCACTTTCTCTAAAGCGTATTTAGTTAAAGTGCCCACCACCATTTAAGTGCAGGGACACTGAATACACATGATGCTAAGGCTGTTGGAACATGCTAATTAGCATGCTCCAGCAGACCCAGTTAATCAAGTCTGCTCTGATGTATGCTACTTAGCATGTGTCAGACACACGTATAAGTGCCCAAACATTTTAGATTTCCATGAAAAGGTTAATGTTGCTAGCATGTACAGCAAAAAAGACAGCCCTTTGGTCTCTAAATCACTGTGATTGCATCTTCTTAAAAATGTATGTAAAGTAGCAGGCGAAGTTGTGAGCTCTGAGAAGTAGAAATTTGAACCTGATGAAAATCAAGAAGTGCTTGTGCACTGCCCAGGTATATTGATTTCACAAATGGCAGACTTGGATGGATGATGTTCAGAAAATTGACACAGAGATCTCTGTGCTCAGAACTGAACACTTTCCAAAGGTTGCAAATTGTTTTAGTTCCATAGAGTTATTATAACAAAGATCAGCTGAGGATCTGACCACTTCTTTCCAAAAAGTATTGGGGATAGACAAATTTATCAATAAAAATAAATTATATATCAAATTTGAGCTGGCCATTGTTTTACTATACCAAATAATAAGGAAGAGAGATAAGTTTCTTAACCATTTACTTTTTCTTCCTAATAGATAAATAATTTGTACTTACATTCCAGATGCAGCCAAGGGCTTGGCATTTTTCTGCTGTTGCATCAGGAGCAGGATGACAATCAAATCTGTCATTGTCACTGAACACTTGAGCCCATGATAGTACATAAGATTTTCCTAGTTCGAGCTTAAGCCCTGTTATGTTGGTGACCTGTAACAATAACATACATACATACATATATATATATATATATACACACACACACACACACACACACACATATATCATAACATGTCACTAATTCTTGTATATAACATGCCATAGAATATATAATACCTTGTTTCTGAAAGGCAGAGTGAAGAAAATAATTCCAGAGTTATAGCAGCAAACAGCTGGGACAGAGTCCGATTTTCAGCTGACTCACCATCACTTTCCTACTTAACTAAAGCTGAAACTAAAACTGTTGCTGAAGGTTGGTTGCCATTGGTACATCTATGATTTTGAAAAGTACTAAAGATTCTCCAAGGGTACAAAATATGGAGAGAGAGACCAGGAGTAGCAAAATTCCCCTAAAAAGGCTTTCTTGATTAGTAGAACATTAAGACCATTAAAAAGAAGAGGTGGTCATTAATACCTCTGGAGTGAAGAACAATGAGCAACTAAGTAAAATGAGATCTTCAGGTACCTGAGCAGTAATGCAATAACTGCTGAACTGTGAAGCAGGAGTCAAAGTGTGCTTGTATGCATCCTGGTCTGAAAATTTGCTTCCCTGCTTCATATACACAGTCCAATTTTATGGTGGGGGGGAGCTGGTTTTGGAGGGAAAAGGTGTGTGTTATATATGAGAAAATACGGTACTAAACTCACGTCTATTTTTTTTTTAATCCATTATTGGCTGATCCTCAAATGGTCAATTGTCAGGAATCCATTAAAATCAATAGACTTAATAGACTTTAATGAAGCTATGACAATTAACGCTGAGTCACAATGTCCACTTTATTCATATTTTCACAAATGCTTGCAAGCTAAATATTTCACACTTAGTCCTGTCACAACCCAGTGATTTTGGTGCCTCAGCGCGATGGAATTTCCTTGCCACATAAGAGCCTCTTACACAGTAAAGGTTTTCTGTTGTAGCAGAAGAACCTCGGTGCAAGAGACTTCCCGCCAATTTGCAGGGTGCATTTCTTCCTTGCAGCACAGAAATGCATGGTGCAAAGAGTTCCCGCTATTCGAATGCAAATTTGTGTCCCGCTATTGGCCAGTTCTAAATTATTCCTATGTGGCGGCTGGTAATTGGCCTGCTGGCCGTTTAAAAAATTTGCGCGACTTCCGCCCAAGTCAAAGAACTTTGAGCACGCTGCAGATTGCCTCTAAAGAGATCTGACTTGCGGCTGAGCTGATCGATAGACTGATCACCTATCGATCCTTCTTCCCGTCGCCGAGCGCAATCCCAGACGTACCCTTTTCCCGCCGGCTTAATTTGCGGACGGATTAACTGGCTTGGGCCTCGCCAGCTGGAACAACTCACATAGTTGTTCAGACGACCGGACCATCTGCGTCGCAACTACAGGCGGCGTAAGTAAACGTTTTTGCAACCATTAAACCTTGCCTGCCTCTCCATTCACCAGCCCGCCCTGACGAACGAGCAATTTCTAAATCACCTCAAGTCGGCTCTGGCCGTCCAAGACAAGTCCTGAAAACTTTAAGCACCTAAATCATAGTGTCTAATCACCCACAGCTTTTATAAAGTTATTTAGGCACCTGAGTATTTACGAGTCTATAAAAAATGCATTTTTGCTTCTTTTTTTTTTTTTTAATTGATAGCACTCTTGTTTAAAGCATGTGCCTATAAAAGACAATCCAAAAAGCACAAAGGCATAATTAGCAATTCAGCTCCCTAGGTGGAGATGTTATTGAATGTCAGAGAGCAAGGAGAAGGTGTTGGGGGTGGAGAGCAGGGATGGCAAGTGCCAGAGAGTTAAGGTGCAGAGGACTGAGAGATGCTGCAGGCCCTCTTCTAAAACCAGTGCCCAAGGCTGGTGCATCACTTCTGCTGCCCCAGTTACGCTACTGCAGAGACAGCCACATTCAAAGAAATGACAGGTCTTTCAGTGTCTGAGTTCCTTCTTTAAAACTGGTTGTCAAAAGGGGCATAGTTGGGGCATTTCTGCTTACTTAGGCCATGGTCCATGTTGGCGCAGCTCTGAACTCCCCCTGTTGAGAAATGTTTGTTGCACTGAGGTACAAGCTTTAAGAAACAGTACATGAACATTAAATTCATAATACCATTTAGCCTGCTTTGAATATGGCACACTAAATATGATGCATGAAATCCAGCTACCAGCATTGACACATGGCTTTTCACTGGCAACACTCACAACTGTGCGTATGTATCTGAAGGCAAAACCAGTATAACTTTTCTATAAACATGAGCATCTTTAAGGCCTTTCATTTTGTAGCAAATATATGCAGTATACTCTAATTATCAGCCCACTCTATGGAGTACATAAAGAAAGGTTATATACTTCTGAAGAAGGTCCAGTCTTTGTCTTCAGTGGTTATTTACCTTATTTGAAGGATTATAGATGACACTATGAGAAGAATTCTGCATCACTCCATTCTGAGACACAGTAAGCAGAGTTGGTTTAAAAGCCAATCCAAAAATTTTGATTTCCTCAAATATTAAATTGTTTGGATCAGTGTAGTTCATGTGCAAAACATTCATTGTTAAAGTATTCTGAAAGATAAGATAGTCATATTATAATAATCATACATTATTCTAATCTACCGGCAAGAATTATTTGCCTAAATAACTTTTATAATGCAATATACAGTGAACCAGTCCTTTCTTCCTTTTCACCTTAACCATTATATGAATGTAATGATATATGAGTAACACATGTTTCCATAGAATAGCAGCAAAGCTCACAGCAAAACTAGCACCAAAGCTATTTTATGCACCACCATTTAGTAGGTGCATCTCACCTATGATTGAAGGAGAGAGCTCAATAGTTGTGGATAGTATACAATTTTGGTAAATATCAGAGAATAAATGTGGTCTGCTAAGAATGCAAATAAGGGTACCAGCAGTATGTTTTTAAAGGCCTGAACATTTGCACATTTTTATATGAATTGACAACATTACATCATTTTTGTATCAAATTAATGACATGATGACACAGGAAATAAACGTTTCCATGCTTTATTATTACCCTCCCCAGGACAGAATGCTGTTAGATTTCATAAGATAATGCAGGGTTACTGATATAATAATACTTATTACTTTGGAGACTTATGAGCTCAATTAGGGCTTAATAATGATATAATATTATGCAGTTTCTGAGAACTTTAACATCTAGAAAAGTAAAAAAGGTAGACAAACTGACTGATTATCCTTATTGTTATAACCTAATCAAGTGGCTAACCTGATTGCTTATAACACAGATTAAATATTAACACTGAACCTCCTTCCTTACTAAGGGAAATCTCCTGTTGCTGTGATAAGAGAGGAAAATGAACTACCTTGCAGTTCAACTCCTTAATAAAGAGCCTCCTAACAGGTTTATTAATTATATCCCAGGAAATAGGGATACATTATGATATTTAAAAATCAGTTGGGGGGGGGGAGGGGGAGAAAGAAAGAAAAAAACATGGTACTCCAAAGCAACTGAAAACTGTAAAAATTAAAATGATTATAATGATAAAAAATTACATTTGAAAAAAATCTACTTACATTTGAAACTGAAAACTGGTAGGAAATGTAATTGTTATTTTCCACAGTACCTAGAATATTGAGAGTGAAGTATACACTTTATATGCAGCAGGGCAGAACAACATAGCATTACTAATACCAAGAGTTCTAGTTTTTTGTACAGCATTACTAAGACATTAAGTATAGGGCTGTCCCACAATTAAACACCAACAGATTGTTAATCATTATGATTGTGATTGTTGTTTTTACAGTTACACTCAGTGGCCCCAGTCAAGATTGAGGCTTGAGTGTGTTAGGTGCTAGCTAAACTGAGGCAAAGGCTTCTCTGGTGCACCCTAACTTCCAGTCAAACAACTTTTATATGTTTGTCTGTTACCTAGCCTTAAACTCCTGATCTTTTCTGATCCTTTTAAAAGTTCAAGAGGCAAGGTTTGTGTGTGTGTGTGTGCCCATATATATCTTTTATTGAATCATCCATAGAGTTGAGAGAGTTGTTGGACAAGCTTTCTGGTATCTTTAGTCGTTATTAGGCCATAAGTCATCTGAGGTCACCCGAGAAAGGACATAAAACCCTAACCCTGACCCCCAAACCTTTGTGCAGTAGCTCTCCCACCTATACAGTTTGTTCAATAAAAGATAACACAAAAAATACATCATCCCAGACCATAATGGCTACAACAATACTTCAACTCATTTTAAAAGTTCAGAATTTTAAAGGCTCATTACAGTAGAGGCTGTTGCACGATAAAAAAGCTTATGGAAACATCTGTAGTCAAAGATACAGGCCCCAAATAAGTAAAGCTTAACTTTAATCCTGTGAGAAGTGTCATTAACTTCATGTGCTTAAGTGCTTTACTTCATTTGGCCTAAATGACAGAGTGGTTGTGTTGAAAAATAGTGGAGAATTATATCATTAGAGGCATGTTTCATTAAGCAGGGAGGGGAATTAATGCTACGCAGGCAATCTTAATTCTGAAATGTACTTACTTTTGACTGCTTGACTTTGCAACATTACTAGTTTTCTCTTAATATAATGCTCTGGTATGCAATCAAGTTGAAGAAAGTTTTATACTCATAAGCACTGTCAGGATAAATACTACTTTCCAGAACAGTTGCCAGTACAGTCTCTTATATCTGATGCATGTTTTAAACCATGTCTTTGAAATAATTTGATCAGTATTTTTTTATGTAGAGTAACTGTTACATTTTTAGTCTATGTAATTTAGTTGTAAAACACAAAACAAATACTTCAGTGGCTGCAACACAATAGGCAATTTCATTATCAAATACTAGGTGGTTTTCATTGTAAGACACGAAGAAGATTATAGTGGCTAGTAACATTTAAACAAGTCTTATGAAAATATTAAAATTCATATAGGCACAGAGATTCAAAAATCCTGAGGCAAATTCAAACTGACTTATGGGGCTTTCTCTAAGTGTACTCAGTTAGTTCAGGAGCAAGCAGAACAGAATTTCACCCTTTGGTGGAGGGGAAGGCTGTCTGCCTTGCTGAAGGCAGCAAGTTTTGGGTGCTCTTGCATACCTCCCAGCATATCCCATGAGCTCCCTGAGCTGCCAGAGACTCCTAAGCAGAGCCAATCACCACTGACTGCCTCAAGTCCCCAAACCCTGTCACCACAGACCCCAGAGCTCCCTGTCAGAGGAGCCCCAAAGCGGTGATCATGGCACACCTGGCAGCCAGGTTGGTGGCTCTATAGGTGGCAGCTAGCAGGGAATCACAATCACAGGCTGTGCGGGGCAGGATGCTGTAGGATGGTGCGGGCTGCCCTTGGTGCCACCCCCCCATGCTAGGCTCAGCTGCCCCACAGCCTGGGATGACTACAAACTCTCCCCCCTCTCCTAACTTAGGAGAGGGGACAGCCCAGCAGCAGGTTTTCTTTTCATGCAACAATTTCTACACTCATAATCCGCCCCATCCCCATCCCTACCAGCCCAGTCCTAGCATGGGGCAGAGGCCAGCGGGGAGCAGCTGCCCCTCCTTCTAGCCCCATTCCCAGCCTTCTCCCTAGGGTGAGGGGTGCTGGGGGTAGATGTCAGGGGGCAGGGGTAGTAGAGTTTGTGTTTGGCATCCCCCATTTCCCCTCTCATGTGCATGGCAGCCCTGAGTGAGCGAAAAAAGATTTTTTTGCAGGGAAAGACAGGAAATGTCTTGGAGGAGGAGAAGGAGGATGTGGTGGTAGCAGTGAGCCCAGGCCAGTGCTCTGGGCCCACACAGGGACCTGGCAAGCTTACTGCACCTTCCACCCAGGCATGGCGTCAAGCCAAGGCTGCCCCCACCTCAGACCTGCTGTGTCACCCCCATATCCCATGCTCCAACTTCTCTGAGGGGCCCAATTCAGGATCCTCAGGGGCATTGTACAAAGATAAAAAAATAGTGAACTACAGGATGCTTCCTTCCCCGCTACTTGCCTCCGACAGGTCTGGCACAGGGCTGGCTGAGTAGCCAACCAGTTACTGCCATTTTTAAACAACACTGTAGGTGCTGAACTTCTGTTTGGTTACAGGTATAGACCAGTTTCTGATCACTTATACCAGTTTGTGTGCAATGTCTATACCTAGCCATAGATTTTTAGAAAGTTTAAACACTTTTTAAAAAAAAAATGTTTTTTTTCATTTTGTTTTCGTTAACAATAAAATCTTACTTGTCTTAGGTCTTGAAGGAAAACTTGTTCCCACCGTAGGCTTAACTGCCCCAGGCATTCAATATTTACTGCAGCAATTATCAGCTAAAATACAGCTCTTTTTCTAAGGCAGCCCAAAGTTTCATGAGATGTGAAAAGGCACATAAGGCTTGAAATGTTTTGCATGACATAGGATTAACTGAGTCTGCCGAAAAAAGTTTTAGTTAAAGTGCCCCTGTTGCCATTTTGAAACATGGGGCACTGAATACACAAGGCACTTTAATTTGAGCTACTCACCACACCTTCACTCCCAGAGCATGTGTAAACATGCCCAACATGCTCCCAAGTGGCAGGTCTCTTATTTCCACTTTGAAAAGGTGTCACTGAATGCCTTCCAAGAGAGATACTTTTTCCATTGTTAAAGTGCTTTTGAGACCTTTTTCCAATTCCCAGCCTAAAGTTTTCCAGAAAAGCTGAATTATCCTCCAATTTTTCCATTCACAGATGTGTATCAGAAAATGAAACATCTGTGTTAAAGATTTGAGATAAACCCTCCTGGAGAAATGGTCTTGAAATATACAAGTTTTACTTGTCATAGGCCATAAATCTGTCGTGTAAAAGAAGCTACAAATAGCTATTATAAACTATAACAATAACAAATTTCCTCTTTAAAAAAAAAAAAAGCCTGAGTCTGTAGCAAAATGCATATAGGACAGCATTTTAGAATAAATATTTAACTGTTCCTAGCTTTTCTTAAAATATATAATAAAAAGAACAAAGCCTGGAATTTAAAGCAGCCAAAAGGATTTAGATGTCTATTTCCTTTGTATGTAATTCCCTTAAGCGCTTCTGAAAATATTACCCAGTGACTACTTAACTCAAAATCCAAAGCTCCCTTCATTTTTCATAATTGTCTTAATTTGAAGATTATTGTGACTAATATTACACTATTTAGAGATAAAACTTAGATATTTTATTTAACTAAACTCTATAGCTGGCATAAGACAATATAAATCTAATTTTTTTTATTTTCATGACCTCTATTCAAGAGAACCCAATTATTCAGAGCACATATTGGTGATTTCACTGGCTTCAACTCTTACTAACACTGCAAAACAAAAATCATCAGTGAGGAAAGATTTGTTGTATGCACGTTTTTTTTTTATTATTATTCCCGAACTACCAATGATACTAGCTCTATTGTACTTGGATACAACAGCATTTAAAAGAAGGCATTCACTTAATATTCAAGTGAATTTAGCCTACATTCAGAAGCTTGGCCCTGGAACAATGCTCACACTCTCCAGGGTAATCGATATAATGTTCTACACCAACGTAAATTAGACAATGTTCACAACCAGACAACAAAGCAGTTATTTCTAAGATACATGTACATAATAGATGGCCTTGATATTGTATGAGAGAAGCAAATAATTGATATGCCTTGATGAAGCGCCACTCTAGGATGGACAAAGGTACCCAAATTAATGTAATTAATCCTGATGCACTTGTATTGTGATTTTTTCAGAGATAGTTCTCCACTGGATTGGTAAAGGTATCCCAGTTTAGGGGTTTATATAATCTACCAATTTTTTTTATACCAGTGTAGTCATGCCACCTGTAGGCATTTAGTTGTGCTGGTTTAAGCTCTGTTCCCACATCAACAAAGTTATGTTTTTTTCAGGCACTGAAAGATGCCGCTAAACTACAGGTCCCTAGTAAACACATTAGTATAAACAAAAATCACAACATGTTTCTGAATGATCCAGTTTAAGGTGTATATGAAGAAAAGTTATATTCAAACAAACAGAGTGAAAAAGCTGGGAGAGGAAACTTTTGCTCCAGTGATATAAGTTTTGTTCAGAAAAAATTCCTATCGACATCCCTGGAAGTTTAAACACACTCCCATATTTTATAAGGGAGCTAGTTTTGCACCTTAATATTGAATCTTGCAGCTAACTGTTCCATTTTTGCAGCTTTGCTTCTATTAGACTTAATGTAGATTTACACCAGTATATTTGAAAGTCAGTGTGTTAAAATATCAAACCGGCAGCTTTTTAAAGCTATTATGAGATATTGTAAAATGTTAATAGTAAAAAAACAAAAAGTGCTAACAAATTGTCAACAGACATTACATTTTCTTCATTTTAAGGATGGTTATTTCAAATCATTAGGCACGTCCCACTTAACTATGCATGAATAAAATTTGCAGACTAGGGTCTTTGATTGCAATTGTTTGCCTTTTACCATTAATTTGCTCAGAGTAGTAGCGTTCTTGATCAGTGGAATTAGAGAAAAGATTAACATCAGTTATCTTCAGTGATTAAGATTTTAATTGCAACATGCATCTCACTGTGCCCACCTCTGGATTCTCCATCATCCCAGAATAAGTCTCCAGTTGCTTGACCGTTGTCATCTAATGCAATGATAAGTCCCAACGATTTCTTACGACTGTAAAAAGAAAAATTATTTGACTGTAGTGCGTAAATCATATCTAGACACCATGTATATTTGCTTCTCTTAAAATATATGCTTGCAAAATTGCACTATTGTTATAGGATTCCCTACTCTATCCTGAGATACATTTTTTTTTTTTCTTGGAAATACCTCAACTCTGCAGAAACTACCTTTTATTTGTATGGAGCTGGAAGACTGTGGCAAGAGTGAAACACAATACAAAATTAACTGGTCATTAATCAAGAATCACATTGTTTAATTCATCATGAAAGTGTATTGAGGTTTACAGTTCTTACCAAATTTTAAGGTGCAAATGCAATAAGCTGTTTTCCTTCTCAGATATTTTACATCTGTGGTTTAATGTACTCAGACAAGAATTTGGTCTAGCATCTGTTATATATTATGTACTGGAACTAACCTTACATACCCTCACAGTGAGGGTGACAACGGGGGAAAGGGAACACTTACATTCCTGCCACTCCAGACTATCTATATCATAGGTAGCTGTGTAGGTTATAGGTGCAGATCAACCCCTGCAGATCTGATACTCTCCCACGCAAATGGACCGGGACAGACAGAGGTAGGCAGTGGGAGGAACCTTAACTGACATAGTTTAGTCCCATTTCTCCGGGGCATAGGAGAACCCAGAGGAAGTCTGTGCATGTTTCTGATTTATCCCAAAGGCAGCAGAATTACACACTGATCCTTACTCAAGATTTAAAATTTAATTGTGTGTGTACAAACTGGTGCTTCCACAGCTTTGGGGACTGATCTGAAGAACCCTAGAGAGAATGGACTCTCGAACATGGTCATGCATTCTCAACTGTACTAGGACTCTAGTCAGAAGTTAGTCTTCAATTTATCCCATGTGATGCTGCCACCAAAACCTGACAGCTATAGGACCACATTCGATAGTGGTCTGGTGAGATAAGATCACAGCTTTAAACATGCCTGTAAACTGTTGTATTAGCTGGTTGCTGAGTAGGAAAGATGTAGCCTCCCCTCAGATGAAGTCCTAGTCTGTCTGCCGGGAGATACATCTCAACCTGTTGTTTTCTCCACAATGGTCTTTCACCCTAATTCATAGAAGTGAGAAAGAAATTAGATATTTTACAGAGAATGGTCCATACTATTCTGAGCTTTCATCAGTTTCCATTGCTACAGCAGGGAAAATAAGTCTGGGGAGCAGGTCAGGTACCTCCTTTGCCTTCTGCACCCCAACTTCTTTCCCCTGCAGCCCCTTTCCCCCCCTCCTTACTGTCAGACCCTGCTCTCCCAGAGTCTGTGGATGTGAGGGGCAAATTTGAAAATGCTGACCTTGAAATAAACGTATTTGTAGTAATTTGTATATAGTACACATAGATGTAGTTCATTCAAAATTGATACGTTTTGCCTTTTTTAAAACCTCTTCAAGTTATAGCACAGGTACTCCATGAACATACTTTTAAGTAACACTTTTGTACCAACAAATATATAGTACAATTTTTTTTAATTAATATATTTTCTGTTCTGGGTCCAATCAGCCAAATCATATCAATTGAGCAGAACTCAATCGTTCCAAAGACCATATCGATTGAGCAGGCAGAACTCAATCATTCTAAACACCATGTATGGCACTACAGTTGGTGAGCATACTCCAACCCAGGGTCTTGCCCTGGGACTTCAGGTACTCCCAAATCCATTGGCAGGCATCCTATGAGCAGGCCTAAGCCAAAAGTTCTTGTGGTTTGGATGCCCCCACTTGATCTTAGCCCACAAAAGGCCATGACACTTGATCTGAGACAATTTGTATATAGTACAAATTATGCATGATATTAGTTTTAAGCCAAAAGGCTCATGATTTACCATATAGTTATTGGGCTAGGTCCCAGCAGATACAGTAGCATCTTAGGCCATGGTGATCCTACAGCTCAGCACTTCTCAGTATACGTCCATGTGCTAATTAACCCGCTCCCTCACTCATGACTGGAACCAAGCACTGTGCTCAATATGGTAGTCTTATTCAGATGGATTTTACTAACATATTCTTATGGGTGGTTCCCTGGCAGAGAAAATACCATGACCACCAGGTGGTTTTCCGACTGGCAGGGGAAATCCATGAACATGGCAGAGAGTAGTACCCTGATTGAGGCAATGCATAGTTAGCCTCCTACTTTCACTTCCAGTGAGAAGATCTCAGTTATACGCTGACTTTTTAGAAATGGGAGACTCCTGTCTAGCTTGCTCCTGTGGCCATACAGTAGATGGCAAGCGAAACTTGGGGGCATCCAAATCCCAAGCCTCCAGGCTTAGGCCTGCATGTAGGATGCCCACCAAAGGATTTGGAAGTATGTGAAGCCCCAAGAGTGGGGGGCGGTGTTTGAGGATGCTTGCTGGTAGCAGGGCCACATAGGTCCTTGAATGACTCACACAGATTTGCAATTGATTTGCCCAATTTGACTTGGGACAGGAAACATTTTCCTTGACAAAAAAAAATTAAAAATTAGGTAGATTCCCATCAGCATGTTTGCACCCTATAGACCATGTAATTTATAGTTATACTCAGTGTTGCCTGCATTTAATCAACTTCATAGTTGGTTTCCATGACTAAGCATATATTGCTTTTTACCAGTAGTTCAAAAGATAGACCATTTATTTAATGTGGTTTCCTTGTATGTGAATGTAGGATGAGGGGATTTCCCTTCACCCACCATGTTGAGGGGTGGGGGGAACATTGTGTCTTATATTCAAGAAAATACAGTATGTAATTCAACATTTAACTAATGTTCTATCTTCAGCACTGTATGAAACATGGAAAAGACATGTCTTCCCTTCAGCATCTGTTTTGCCTTCTTTCCAGTCCTGCTCAATGCACCATCCCATCCAATCTTTTACCTTCCCTCTGTCCATCTCTCTTCTATCTTTCCTTCCATTATTCCCTTTTCTCTCGTCTTTTTCCTTACTTCAGGTTCTTCTGTGTTACCTAGTTTTACTCTTTGGACTAAACATGGTGACATATGGAATACTATACACAGCACAGTATAGAATAGGCAGACAGACTCATACCCCAACTCACTATATGGATCAACTTACTGTCTCATAATCATACCACACTGCATCAGGAATGTATGCTGTCACTCTGTCTACACCCTAAAATAAGAAAAAAGAAACAAATGTTCAAGTCAGGACCTAAAACAAAGTTTTTAAAGTGACAATAAAGTCTAGGGTGAGAAGAGTATATCTGATAATTTTTCTGTAAGGCTTCTGACCAACATGTTGAAATTTCATAAAATCATTGAAATTGGAGATAGAAAATAAATACTTATCCAGCCAAATGCAATGACA